CCTCCCCCCACAAAAAAAAAAAGTGGACCAGCTACATTTTGAAAAACCCCAGAGGACAGATACGGTCTGGTACTCACCCTTCTCTGAAGAACTCTACTCACAGTCTAGCTCCAACACTGGGAGGTAGGGAAGGGAGGGTGTCTGGCTGGCTGGAGGGGGTGGATGTGTGCGGTGGGGGGGTGTCGGTGCGTCAGTGGAGTAGATGATTGGGAGTTTGGGAAGGGAAAGGTACTTAGTGGAGAAGGCGGTGGTGGGGAGGGAATGGGGAAAAGAAAATAAAGTCTAAGGGAGAAATAGATTGAGAGGTGAAGGGATGAGAAGGTGGGTGGGTGAGAAGGGGAAAGAGTAACCCCTTCCCCAAAATAAACCCACAAACCACCACCACCCCTGGAAGAGGTGAGAGGGAGGGGCAATAAAATAATTAAGGAATGAAAAAGCGTTGGGTCAGTGATTCTCTTAAAAAAAAAAAAAAAGGCTGAGAAAGGAACAAGGACCAGACTTTAATGGAAAGCCCGGGCTGGCAGGAAGGCAGCGAGGAGACGCTTTTGCTCTATCCCATCCCTTTGCAGTCCCCGAGCAGAGGAGGAGGCTGGCTGAGGGGGAAGTTGCTGCCGCTCATGAGGAGGAGGAGGTTACACTGTAACAAGTACAGACAGACAGCCATGGATCAGAGGGGAGCTGGGAGCGGCGGCGGCCGAGGCAGCGGCGGCAGCCGAGGCAGCAGCAGCGGCGGCGGCGGCGGCAGCAGCAGCAGCAGCGAGCGGCGCTGGCGGCAGCAGCAGCAGCGGCGGCGGCGGCGGCGGCGGCGGGCGGCAGCACCGCCTGCTCGGCTAGCACAAGACATTTAATTGGATTGATGGGTTGTGCAGTGACTCACAGACTTTACTGAGTCGTACAGCAGTCCCCGCCCAGCTGGACAGGGAAGATGCTGGGAGGGGAGGGGAGGAGGAGAAGAAGGAGGAGGAGGAAGAGGAGGTGGGGGAAGAGGCTGAGGAAGATCCGTGAGAGGAGGGGAAGGCGGTCGATCGACCCGACCCAGGGGCGAGGCGTTGGAAGGCGGGGTGGGGGGGAGCAGGACGGAGACGCCCAATGGCCGAGCCAGCCCTGGGGACGGACGCGAGCTGCGGCCAATGGGCGTGCCGCTCCCTAAGCTGCCGCCGTCACCCCCGGTCCAATGAGTCTTCTAAGGACACTGCCGCGAATTTGGGGGTGGGGAGGGAGAGTATGAGAGTAGAGGGGAGGAGAAGTGGGTGGACGTTGAGACTGAGGAGGGGTGAAGGAGAGAGAAAGAAAAGAGAAGCCCCATTCTCGCTGGTGGGCGGCTCTTTTTTCTCCCCCCCCCGACCATGTGCTGCCTCCACCAATCGGAGCGTTGCCAGGGAGGTGATGGGCGTACTGATACAGCCAATGAAAAGGAGGAGGGGTAGGCCTGGGAGCCAGGGAGGAAGGAGTGGGCGGGTGTAAGCCCCTCCCCCCTACCTTTCCCTCTACGTTTGGGTTGGTCACGCAAATAACTGTGTGAGGGTTGGGGCTGCCGGGGAGGAGGAGAAGAAGAGAGCTGGGGTTGCTGGCTGCGTGACAGAGATAGGGACTGACTGTGCTGCCGACTCTGAGCAGGGAGGAGGAGGAGGAGGCAGGCAACTTACTCAGCTCGCTGAGCTGCTGCTTCTGCTGCTGCTGCCGCCTCGGCCTCCCCCGACTGGGGAAAGAAGTCCCACAGACCCCTTCAGGTGGCCCCGGGACTGGCTGGGCTGCGAGGTGTGAAGAGAAACATTTTTTTAAATCCCCAAACTTTGGCCCAAATCTGGGCTGTGCGGGCCACATGAGCCCGAGAGGGTGTAGACGGCCCTGCTCAACTGTCGGGGCACCTTCGAGGTGGTTTGACAAGGGGGTGGGGTGGGGGCTGTGCCACCTTTGCCCTCTTTTTTTTTTTTTTTACTAGGAGTCGGGTTTAGGGCAAGTTCAAAATATACACACTCACATACTTATATACACATGCACCACATTATATATGTGTATCTGTATATACACGCAGAGACATATACACACATACCCCTTGTTTCTGATTTAATTTATGAAAAACCTCTTCTAACTAAATTGACCACAGTGGTGAGGGCTGACCCTCACCTTACCTCCCACCCTTTAAATCTCCATCTCTGCACTGGTCCCACTTGACCTCCACTCCCTCCCCTCCCCCTTCTCTCTTCTCTACCTTGCCCCTCTATGCTGGCAGCAAAGAGGATGCACACCCATTGGATCCTCTGCTAGCTAGCTGTCTATTCCCAGGAGCCATGGCTTTTTTCCATTTCTTGGCTACTATCCAGCAGTCATCTCACAGGCCTTAACCCTTTCCATGCTTTTGAACTGAGGAAGAAAGGAACCACTCCTAGGTCAGCAAGGGGGAAAAGAAAGCAAACAAACCAACAACCACCCATCACCCCCACTGCCGGGTGAGGTTCTGGCTGGGCACTAACTAAAACTTGGTCTTTATAAAGCAAAGAAAGAGAAATCAGAAGTCACACCTGCTGCAAAAGGAAAGGATTGTTTTAAAAGAGCCCTTCAGAAGATGACCCCAAATCAGTTTTCTAGGTACAGATCTACCAGGTTATTAAAGCCAGTAACTTAATTTTTTGTACATAGAAAAATTACTCAATTTCTAATATGGTTACTGAATATATTCAAAAATGCCCTATGAGAAAAGAAATCTAAATTTCCAAAACCTTTTTTTTTTCCTCCCCCCCCCCGAAGTTGTTTTATAGCTTAGGTAAATGTGACATCAAAGTTTTCTATAGAAGTGTTTTACTAATAGGGGCTAGAAAAGGAATTGGTCCTGTAATTTCATTAGTAGGGAACTCCTGGGAGAGCAAATTCCCTCTTCCAATGCAGGTTGGCTCGATTGCAGTTTACAATTGTAGAGACTTCCAAGTGCCAAGGATCACATAGCCAGTTATGTGTCAGAAGCAAGTCTTGAACCTATGTGTTTTACATTGCCTGTCCATTATACTACAATGTATCTCTTGTATTAGTACATAAAATATATTGTGTGCATATAATACATAGTAAATAGACTTTAGATATACAGTAGTGCCTTCTATCTAAAAATCTCTATTAGAGTTAGGTGACCCAAAAGCACAGTTGGCCACAAGACAAATTTTTAGTGACACTCTACTATTTCCCAGTATATAATAATAGCTAACATTTCTATAATGCTTTGAGGTTTGTAAAACACTTTACATACAGCATCTCTTTTCATCTTCACAACCTTTCAAGAGATGTGCTATTATTATCCCCCTTTTACAGATGGAGAAACTGAGGCCCAGAGAGGTTCAAGATCATATAGCAAAGTAAGTCTCTGAGGCAGCATTTGAATCCACGTCTAGCTGACTCCAATTCTAGTGCTCTCCCCACTTCAGCATTGCGTGTCTTTTTCATATTCTACTCTCTTATTCCCTCTCTCTTTTTTAATCTTTCCATCAACAACTCTCTTTGTCCTTTACCCTCTCCCCCCACCCACATTTTTCTTTTCATCTTGACTAGCAAGGGCAACTAACTACCAGTTAATTCAAGGCAAAATGGTGAAATTGACAAAATGTTTCTTCTGTTTCCTGGGTGTGTTCCCACAGTTCTTTTTTAAAATGAAACTTAATACAAAAATACTTCATGTATAGTATTATTCTCAAGATTTTAGTTTACTAGAGACATATGGCATAGCATAGACCGTTTTAGTCTTATGCCCCTCACACCAGTTGCCTCCGTTTCTTCTCTTTTTTATATCTTTTCTCCCATCCTCCTTCCTCCTATATTTAGGTACAGTGAGACACAAATAGAAGTAAAAATGTGATTTTAGTTTGAGGGAAAAAATGAGAGCAATTGAGGAGGGACAGTTCAGGCAGCAAGAAAGATGAGAGTGAGAAAGGGAGTCAAAAAGAAAGGGGTATGAACAGAAAGAGATTAGGCAGAGATGCAAAAGGAATAGAGGTCTTAAAGTCAAGAGAAAATTGAGAGGCCATCTGTCATGATCTGCCTCTTCTCCCATATGTGGTGAGGCCAGTACTTTTGTGTTGGATGGAAAGCAGAACCAAAGGCAGTGATTCTGTTGCTGGGAGAATGGCAGGATGGGGAGTAGGGCAAAGGTTGCTAGCCTCTTTCAGTCTTCTCAATCCCATCCCAGCTCCTATAATTTGCATGGAACATGAGGGGGCCATGATGCAGGGTTAAAAGCAATCTCCCTACCACAACTTTATTCAGCTCCTTTGCAATTTCTAAGTGCATCCCTGGAAAAAAATTTGCTAGGACCAGTTGTATAGTAGGAATTAAAAGGAACTTTATGACCATAACTCAGATAAAAATTGAACTGAAAGAGTCCAAAGGAATGTCTCTGCAGTTTAAAAAAAAAAAAAGCAGAGTAACAGAAAATCCCAGTTCAGCTGAGAAAGCAGTTAACGTGACGATTTCACCAGAGGATATCAGTGTCTCTCTAGCTTCAGAAGTGTGAGTTACTCCACCATGCATGGGCCCTGGCCACAAAGGATCTCTGTGTGTGCCCTTTCACATGTGTTTACTGCATATATTCTCTTTCTACTTATGGTATCTTAACCAGTGAGAGAAGATACTACCACATTTAGGGAATCAAGTTTTCATTAACACCTTACTATGCTGTTTGACTCTATGTGTTTCGCATTTAATGCATGTGCTCTCTGGTTGGCTGATAAAAGAAACATATCAGTGGGGTTTCATGGCCTGTAGTAGTAGACTGGATACAGGATATTCGCCTATACCCAGAATATGTCTCAGACCTGGAGTACTATTGGGGGATCAGATTTTGGGGGTAGGATGTAGATGGTATGTCAATTCTATACCGCAAAATTTCTTGACATCATCTGCCGTTCTCCCTTGTTTATTTTTGATGAAGTGGTCTTCTTCTTGCCAAATCCAGTGCCTCTGAGACCTTGATTCCACCCATTTCTGAATCATCTAGTAACTTTTACCTTAAATTATCCCTTCTTTCTCTCTACCTTCAATCTCTCACTAGTGGATAGCTTGCTGGACTTGGAGTCAGAAAGATCTTTATTCAAATCCCTCCCCAGACACTCATCAGCTGCGTGACTGAGAGCAAATCACAACCTCTACCAATTTATTTCCTGATCTGTAAAATGGGAACCATAATACCTCACAGAATATTATGAAGTTCAAATGAGATCATGTATGTAAATCTTACATAAATGTTAGCTATTATTATTATTGTTAAGAGGTCTGTCTTTGCTGCTTACAAAGATATCTAGTTCCTCCCCATCCTTAAAAAACCTTACTTGACTCAGTAATCTCCTTGAGCTATTATCTCTCTTCCCTGTCATAGCTAAATTCCAAAACCTGCCAACCATTCCTTATCTTCACTTTCTCACCAATCATTCATTTATTTGTGTATGGGTTTATTTTTTAATCAACAAAAATCCACCTTCTCACCCTCCTACCCCAACCACCTCCACCACCAACAGCTGAGGACAAAAGAAAAACAAAACCCCTTTTATAAATACAAGCATACCTTAGAGATATTGTGGGTTCAGTTCCAGACCACTGCAATAAAGCAAATATCACAATAAAGCAAGTCACATGAATTTTTTTGGTTTCCCAGAGCATATAAAAGTTATGTTTACACTAAACTGTAGTCTATTATGTGTGCAATAGCATTATGTCTAC